GTAAAACAACGTCGCGTGTTAAGAGAAAAATGAAACATGGCGAGAAAATTATTACATAATGTAAGAATTATTTATTTTTTAGAAACAAATACAGTATTGCAATCGTTTGTTGGAGTTATGTAAACCCACTACGATCTATAAAATACGTAGCTGTATAGAATAAATCCAAATTTTGTGTTTTGACATGCCCCCTTTTCACTGCAATAAAGTCTACCTCCAATTTTCTTTTCATTTTTTATAAGAAGAATTAAAATTGCAAGATATATGTGATAAACAAAGAATTTCAGCATGTATATTTTTTTAATTTGTAAATTTCTTTGTTAATTGAAGAGTTTTAGCATGTAATTTTGTATAAAAACACGAAAAATTGTCCATATCTTGACAGTACCCCCATTTCACTACAATAAAGGTAAGGTAACAAAATTTCATTCTAATTTTTCTAAGCATAAAACATACAAGAATATTTTCAAAAATTAAATTTTTTTATCATTCCGTTTTCGTAATTTTTAACTAGATCGGGCCTCGTTAAGAAGCCTAAAGGATCATGGCTAGACAAACCAGAAGTCTCTGTCGAGACTGTAGCTCTACTGGTTTGTACTTGTAACAAAGGATGAGAAAAGACCCCATTGCCATCAGACCAAAACTGTAAGAGGAATAGCGTTTTAAAGGAACTTCACAAAAAGTTAACAATTTTTATTAACCATGACATCACCGTTCATCGAAATCAAAAACCGATGCACTATTTTTATGTATATTACATGTAGTGTAGTCTAACTGTGTGCCAAGTTATATTGAAATAGACCAAAACTGTCGGAGGAGTAGCGTTTTGAAGTAATTTCACGGAAAATTCTATTTTTAGTTACCATTGAAATCGTACCAAGACTGTCGGAGGAATAGCGTTTTAAAGGAACTTCACAGAAAATTCTATTTTTATTAACCATGACATCACCGTTCATCGAAATCAAAATCCGATGCACTATTTTATGTATATTACAAGTAGTGTAGTCTAACTGTGCGCCAAGGTATATTGAAATCGGACCAAAACTGTCGGAGGAGTAGCGTTTTAAAGTAATTTCACAGAAAATTCTATTTTTAGTTACCATGGCAACACCGTTCATCGAAATCAAAAACCGATGCCTTATTCCGTGTGTCTTAATTTAGTCTACTTGTGTGCCAAGTTATATGAAATTCAGACCAAAACTGTAGGAGGAGTAGCGTTTTAAAGGAACTTCACAGAAAATTCTATTTTTAGTAACCATGACATCACCGTTCATGGAAATCAAAATCCGATGCACTATTTTATGTATATTATATGTAGTGTAGTCTAATTGTGTTCAAGTTATATTGAAATCAGACCAAAACTGTAGAAGGAGTAGCGTTTTAAAGTAATTTCACAGAAAATTCTATTTTTAGTTACCATGGCAACATCGTTCATCAAAATCAAAAACCGATGCACTATTCTATGTATCTTAGTGTAGTCTACTTGTGTGCCACGTTATATGAAATTCAGACCAAAACTGTAGGAGGAGTAGCGTTTTAAAGAAATTTCACAGAAATTTTATTTTTAGTACATGTAACCATGGCATCACCATTCATCGAAATCAAAAACTGATGCACTATTTTATGTATATTAGTGTAGTTTACTTGTGTGGCAAGTTATATTAAATTCAGACCAAAACTTTAAGAGGAGTAGCATTTTGAAAAATTGTTTACAGACAGACGGACAACGGACACTGACCAGTAGAGCTAAAAATGCACCAGAAGAAATGTGGACATCTCGCGATCGAGATAACAAAACCATGGAACTCTACAACTTACAAGGCAAATTACTGAAGCCAATCCAAACCGAAACATGGACTTGTGCGTGTGACATAGAGGTAACAAAGAGTGGAGATCTAGTTTATATCTAGTTTATACGGAACCTGATACAAAAACTGTCAACATAGTGAAGAATAAACAGATACAGGAAATGATCAGACTACAGAGGTGGACTCTTCACTTAGTATGGAAATACGCAGTTCTCTTCATTGTGCGTTAGACACTAAGGATACGCAAAATGGGATAATAACTTCCGAGAACGCTTCTCACAGGCAGAGACGAGTACCCGACAATCCTTACACAGTTTCTTGAAGCAGAAGGTAGAGTACACTTGTACAACTCTGTCTTTGCAGAGGTCGATTTTGCTGATGTCCTGGGTACGAGCTGTGGGATCCATTTCACCAGCATCTTGAAAGTGCTGTAAGATTTCATTATCATCAAAAATTGCTATTAAGACAGAAAAAGCATATATAAGCATTAGATATGTGTTTCAAAAGGAGAATGGGATTTGATTTTTATCTGCCTTTGTATCTTTATCTTCAACTGAGTATGAAACTAAAGCTGATATTATTTAAAACTGTAGATAAAACAAATCGTATCTTTTTTTGTATTAATTAATTGATTTAACTATGTTTCATCACAATTGTAAACACTTTGATGACATTTATTACATATCTATGTTTGGTATAAGTCTTGGACGAGGTATCCCCTAACTTCAATTCTAACAAACAATCAGATGATATCGTCCGTGATAGCCAGTTTATGTTGATTATTTGTGATACCCAATTTATCTTCATAGTTTGATACCCAGCTTATCTTGATTGTCTGTGATACCCAGCTTACAAGCTTGATTGTCTGTGATTTCCAGCTTATTTTGATGGTCTGTGATACCCAGCTTTTCTTGATTGTCTTTGATCCCTAGCTTATCTTGCTTGTCTGTGATACCCAGCTTATCTTGATTGTCTGTGACACACTGCTTATCTTGATTGTCTGTGATACCCAGCTTATATTGATTGTCTGTGATACCCAGCTTATCTTGATTGTCTGTGATACCCAGTTTATCTTGATTGCTTGTGATACCCAGCTTATCTTGATTGTCTGTGATACACTGCTTATCTTGATTGTCTGTGATACCCAGCTTATCTTGATTGTCCGTGATACCCAGCTTATCATGACTGTCTGTGATACCCAGTTTATCTTGATTGTCTTTGTTCCCAATTTATCAATTTATCTTGCTTGTCTGTGATACCCAGTTTATCTTGATTGCCTGTGATACCCAGCTTATCTTGATTGTCTGTGATATCCAGTTTATCTTGATCTTCTATGACACTCAGCCTATGTTGATTGTCTGTGATGCCCAGCTTATCTTCATTGTCTTTGGTCCTTAGCTTCTCTTGATTGTCTGTGATTACCCAGCTTATCTTGATTGTCTGTAACACCCAGCTTATCTTTACTGTATGTTATTTCTTAGCTTACCTTGATTGTCTGCGATACCCAGCTTACCTTGATTGTCTGTGATACCCAGTTTATCTTGATTGCCTGTGATACCCAGTTTATCTTGATTGTCTGTGATACCCAGTTTATCTTGATTGCTTGTGATACCCAGTTTATCTTGATTGTCTGTGATACCCAGTTTATCTTGATTGTCTGTAATACCCAGCTTATCTTGATTTTCTGTGAATAACCAGCTTATGTTGATTGTCTGTGATACCCAGCTTATCTTGATTGTCTGTGAATAACCAGCTTATGTTGATTGTGATACCCAGTTTATCTTGATTGTCTGTGATACCCAGCTTATCTTGATTGTCTGTAATACCCAGCTTATCTTGATTTTCTGTGAATAACCAGCTTATGTTGATTGTCTGTGATACCCAGCTTATCTTGACTGTATGTGATTTCTAAGCTTAGCTTTATTGTCTGTGATTTCTAAGCTTCGCTTAATTGTCTGTCATTTCTAAGCTTAACTTGATTGTCTGTAATACCCAGCTTAGCTTAATTGTCTGTGATTTCTAAGCTTACCTTGATTGTCTGTGATTTCTAAGCTTAGCTTGATTGCCTGGGATACCCAAGCTTATCTTACCTATCTGTGATTACCCAGCTAATGCATGTTGATTGTCTGTAATTTCTAAGCTAAGCTTGATTGTCTGTGATTTTTAAGCTTATTTTGATTGTTTGTGATTCAAAGCTTATCTTAATGGTCTGTGATACCCAGCTTATGTTGATTGTCTGTAATACCCAGCTTACCTTGATTGTCTGTGATACCCAGCTTATCTTGATTGTCTGTAATACCCAGGTTATCTTGATTGTCTGTAATTACCCAGCTTATCTTGACTGTCTGTGATTTCTAAGCTTAGCTTTATTGTCTGTGATTTCTAAGCTTAGCTTTATTGTCTGTGATTTCTAAGCTTAGCTTAATAGTTTGTGTTCTCCAAACTTAGCTTGATTGTCTGTGATTTCTAAGCTTAGCTTGATTGTTTGTGATTACCCAGCTTAGCTTGATCACATTGGTTGTCTGTGATTTTTATATTGTGTTTTAAATTAGCTGTTCATGAAATTTTATAGACATATAAACAAGATGTATGTTAGTCAGTGTTTGATACCAGGAAGTTTTTTCTAGGAAAGTGCATTGAGGATGAAATGTGAGGATGGTAAAAAGCTTTCATTCAAATCCATTTAAATGATATATAATTACTTTGTTTGAGCAGAACCAGCATAGATCTTTGAAAACAGAGAATACGACCAGGTCTAAAGAATGTGTCATTTAGTAAACAGTCGAGAATTTAAAGAAAAAAATATTCAAAAGGTTCATAAATCCTGTAAAAAATAATTGGCTTTAATATATTGCAAATTTATATCTTCAATTTTCAAATTACATTGATGAAATGATTACGACACAAGTTTTCTCAAAAAATGGTGACATTGATATCAGTAACATATATACTTATTTTGACTTGCATGTACCACATATAAATTGAGTTATCTCTATATGTTGACACAGACTTGGTACTTTGAAACTTGCCCATTTGAGGGTGCAATGATTAGATATAATACATATCATCTGTCTTCTTTAACTTTACCAGCTTGAACAGATAAATACAGTACATGTATTTATTTCTTTATTGATAGTCATGTCAATTTTTAAATACAGTACATGTATTTATTTCTTTATTGATAGTCATGTCAATTTTGAGCACGTACCTTTAATATCGCAATGCATGGAAATAAGATTTAGCAAGCATCAATTGATTACAAATATTTGATTTTATTCACTTTACCACTCTTACATTCAGCCACAAAGAGGTTGTCTCTGGTGTCTACACACAAATTGCATGGACGGTATAAATAACAGTTATCAATGTTACGGAGGAATCGTCCGTCCTGATCTAGGATATGGACACAGCTGCTGGTAAAGTCCGCTGTCAGGATCTGACTCTGGCTGTCAGTTGTGATGCCAGCTGGATTGAATGGTCCTTTGGTAGTAGAGGGATTGCCAGTGTATCTAAATCGGAGCTGTTTTGCCTGATTAACCACCACGACTGCATGGGCTCCATAGTCAGCCACACAGATATCAAGGTTCTTGTTTTCATTGATGAATTTAAGATCACCGGACGAATACAGAGGTTGGCCTTTACTGTCAAACTGAATGGTTTGTTTCTCTGTGGAGCCAGAGTAACGTACAACTTTTGCTTGTTCATTATCATCACTGTCCATGGTAACCAGGAGGTCACCCGAGGGGGTACTACAGACATTGTTAGGTATCCAACCCGGAAGTCTGATCATCTCCTGTATCTGTTTATTCTTCACTATGTTTACAGTACTTGTATCAATATAAATTAAATCTCCACTCCTTGTCACTGCTATGTCACTTGGGCTTTTTCCAGACTTGGTTTCGATTGACTTCATAAGTTTTCCCTGGAGGTTGTAGAGTTTCATAATCTTATCTTCTCCACATGTCCAGAATTCTTCGTCACTGAGACAGGTAACACTGGTTAGATATTTATACCCAGTGTCTATGGTGGTGATGAGCTCTTGTTTATCAAGCAGTGGTTTTACTTGAGGACGGGGTATAAAAAAAGCTTTTGATGCCACCATTGTGTAACCAAGATCTTCTGATGCAATGGATAATGGTGATATATGACCAAATAACTGTAAACATTTCCCTAGGTTATGATTGCCAGTAAACACAGGAAACTCGATTTTTAGTTTTGATGGAGGTTTGGTGAATTTTTCTGAGTTTATCTCATGATAAAGTGGTTTGCTTACGTCATTGGATTGAAGAATTTCCTCAATTTCTGATATTGACTGTTTAACGTCAGCGACGAGTTTCATAATATCTGTGAGGTGTTTCTTTAGGGCATATATGTGTTGGTTTCTCATCTTATTGATTTCTTTCTTTTTTCCCTCTACAACTTTTTCAATTTCTTTGTGCCATTCTTTTCCATGTTTCGTGACTTCTGAAGTAAGTTTCTCATATTTTCTGTCTATATCATTTAGCTGGGTTTGTATATCAGCTACATTTTCACGATTTTTGAGTAAACTATTTCTTGCAATCTTTTTCTCTCGTTTTCAATAATTTCTTTCTTTGAGGTCAGTAAATCTTTCAGACTTCTGAAATGATGTCTGGTATGTGTTTCAGAAATAACACATTTTGGACACACTGGAGTCTTGCAATCTTCACAGTGCATTTCACAGTTCTCTTCAGAGTGGATTAGACACTGAGGATACACAAGTTTGGATCTTTCTCCAAAGCAAAAGGAACCACACTATGATTTTTAGAGGCATCAGAGATGTGTTCCCCAACACAACCCTTACACAGGTTCATGGCACAAACGTTACAGTACATTTTGTACAACTGTGTCTTCACAGAGGTTACATCTGATAATGTCCTGGGCACAAAATCTGGGATCCATCTTATCAGTCTTTTAAATGCTATAAAATTATTATAATTAATGAATATTTGAATTCAATTAAAGATAAAAATATAGCTTGTACCGTACTGTATGTTAAAAAAAATTGTTAGGAGAATTAAATATTTTTACCTGCAAAATCTCTAACACCTGTAATTGAGCATGAAACAGTGGTAATGCTTTATCAGTGGAGATAAAACAAATCATAAGACTTCTTGTATCAATGTGCAAACTTCTTGTACCACACTCGGAAAACTTTGTTT